ATTGCTTCATCTGAAATTTTTAGATAAAAGAACTTATTATTTCAACGCACTTATCGTTGAACCGTTATTCCGCGAATTTCCAAATACAACTTGTCAATTGCAATTTGAAATACATTTATAAAACCCTGTTTGAAAGTAATGGATGGAACGATTAATCCCAGGTAAGATAATATTCCTCGCAGTCTACCCTGTATACGTCGGACCCTCGTTTGCAACGATCGCGCGGATAAATTTTCTCTTTTAATACCGAAAATCGCTCGATAACCAACGCATCGTTACGTTAATGAAGCAATTAATACGAATGCGGAAGCACGCGGTGCCCGGGCCTGTTAAACTCGTTACACGCGAGGAACGTCGCGTCGGGGCGGTTCTCGAGATTAAGAAAAATGCGAAATACCTTCGATTCTGTCATGCCACAGCCGTTTGCTCTCAAACTTTTTCCAAACGAAATACTTTTTACGAATGAAACCAATGATTTCTCATCTAAATATTATTACTGTCGCGTCATTAATTTGTCGCGCAATTGCTCTAGTTCTTTTTCTCTTCTAGTTCCTTCTTGTATATTAAATTGAACCCAACTAATTCGTAGATAATGGATGGACATAACGATATTTCTACCTGACGTCAATAAACGTGTTTAAAGATGCGCGAAAGAGAGTCGAAACTCGCGTGGTCCGCTTCGCGACGAATTCCCCGTGTCGGCTCCGGCGGTATCGTTTCCCACGAGCTCTGCGGACGAGTATTCCACTAACTGGCGTCCCCTTTCCACGGTTTCCTCCTCACGAGCGGCCGGTAGAGAAACGGAGAACCTCGGACGTGGCAGTGACTAATTATTTAGGGTTGCATCGGCGATCTCTCCCTCGTGCCCGGTATAGCGTCGCTCTCTCCCCTCCAATCGATCCGCGTTGGTGTCCCCTCGCGTTCCTCTCTATCTCCGCGCTACCTCTCGTCCTTCCTCCCCGCCCCGATCCGCTCGTTTATTTTTCCCCCGCGGACTGCATTTCTGCGGAGCCAAACGGAACACTTATATGGACTTCGTCACCGGCGTTCGTTTCGCCGCTCAGGGTATACCGCTATACGCGGGGCCATTGTTTTGCACCGGTTAGGCCGAACTCTCGAGGAGGACTCGCGCATCGTCCTTATTAGCAATTCAAATTGGCGGCAATTTTTTGAGTGCATTTTTGACCTCCTGTATCGGGGCCGGCCGGGTCCAGCTTCACTGCGGCTTTTGTGTCGTATACGCCGAAACTCCCTGCCTTATTAAGGCCGCCCTCGCCATATTAAGGGCCCCGCGTTAAGCCTCTTGCTCCTCGCCTCTTCATTCTCCTCGTCTCGTTCTTTATCTCCGTTAGTAATTGATCTCAACCCCGGTCCCCGTTTCTTTCAGCCGATCTCATATCGCAATCGTTATCTAAGAATATTTGTCTTGTCAGTCCGTTTAAGGGATTAACACTGTCTATGCAGATGAAGTGTTCACTCAGAGTTACAGCGTCTACACCAGTGATGCCCTGCGTGACGACAGTTGGAGTAATCTGCAGGAACGGATTTACGTGTCCTATTAATCGATGCTCGCGATCGTTTCTTAATCCCGCTATTTCGAGCGGTAATTCCAATCCGATCTCTTTCCCTTCTCCTCTCCCTGGCCTTGTTCCTCGAGGAGGAGCGAATATCGTGGCCGATGAAAAAGAAAGTTTCCCTTCCTTAGCAGGTAAGTGGCTCGCGTACCTCATCAACGATTCACATCGCGAATTAAGCGGTTCGCGAATTAAAAAGCCGGAACGCAAGGAACGACGTCGAGCTTCTTTGTCGCGTTCTCCCATAAGAAAATCCCCAGAGCTTTCAGCCCCCTCCTCTTCTCATTACTCCGCGAGTTGCGCTGATTTATTTATTTAACTCGCCACGAAAGAGAGTTAGAGGGACCCATAAATTGAACGAGGAGGGAGAGCAAATGGTTTCTTCGTCTCAGCCCCATTCTAGCGCATCGAAGTTTCGTTCGCCGTAGCGTTCCGTTGGAATTACATCGGCCCTGTGCTTCTTTTCCAGCGGCGGTCTCCGTTCGTTCCGTTCAGGATGATCAACGGGAAAATCAACGAGCCCCGTGGACTGTATTATGCATGCGCCATTGCGTTTTCCTTTTAAAATTACCATTAGACGCGGCTCTCACCGCGGGGATATCGGAAATTGAAAGGACGAAGAATGGAAAACGGGCTGGGTTTTACTTCCGTCGGGAGACCCGATTACGACGCTCGGCCATTCTTACTGACAGAAAACCACCCTTCCCGCCCTCTTTAAACCTCGCACGTATTTACCTCCTTCGGCGTTGCTTAAAATTTCCGTCGTCGTACCCCTGACCCGTCCTGATCGCGGAATTCGAGCGTGTACGCGCTCGCAGATTGCATTACTCGGTCGGGTTTCTACCTTTCCCGATCGTTTATACCTTCTCCCGGATAAAAACGGTGAATATCGGAAAACCGATGCGACCCGACGACAGGAATTGAATCTAATTCGTTCGAGATTCCACCCTTCCTACTTTCCCTTTTTTTCCTGCCCTTTTTATCGAACGACTTCCCGCTTATTTATTTCTGGCCGGCGAAAGCCTCTTTAATATTCACGGATTTAATTAGTAGGTCGATCTTCATTCTCAGCGGGGACGAAATGGTATCCTGTGGATTACATGCAACCGAGCCGAGGAAGCAAGACGTTCTCCCGGTTCATGTTCCCGCCGCGGCATGTAACGGTCCCGAATTATACGTATTTTCGTCAACGCGATCCGCACTTTACATGCTCGCCGGAATTCGTAGTACAAGTAACAAGGAAGCGACAAGGATGCCGATTCCCGGGAAACGAGCCTTTACGTCGGCTGTTACCGCTACCGGTAAATTAGCCCGGGCCATTTCCACGGTGTACCGATTACCGTCCCTCCTCGAATCTTCGCGATTGCTTCTCCTGGATAAACGCCTCGATAGCAGTATCAACCGACATCCTTTTACCGGACGTTTCAACGGAAATTGTTCAAACGGATTTCATCAACATGCTGAATAAAAGTTAAATCCAATCCCAAAGGAAACTTATTTCTGTCATTTCAGAAATCTTTTACTTCGCAAAATCAATAAATGATTACCATAACTCAAATTATAGACTGTTTAGGATATTCATAATATGCAGAAAATATAAAAAAATGCAATGCTTAAAAAATATTTATGAAAAACCTATTTTTAAATTCGATACCATGGAAGTTATGATCTATACTCTGGTTACGATAATCGATTTTTAGACGTATGAGTGTCGTTTCGTTTTTCGTTATAGATATCTCAACGACAGCGATCGTCAAAAGCTGAGATCCAGTATGAATTCACGAAAACGTCTAATCTTTTGTCGACTCCGGTTTTTCCAACGAGAAAAAGTCCAAGTGAAGGCAAAAATTCTGCTCGGATCTGAATGTTCAACGTATAGGTCCGGGGGTGGTCCCCGGACGCGGGTCTCAGGTGCGACGACGGCTGTCGTTGACAGAGACATTTGTCAGCGAGCTCGTCGCCGTCGCGTCGTTACGTTCTCCTCTGTGAACGTTAGCTCAATGAACGAGCACAAGTAGATCGTAGCGATAATCGGGAACGAATTGAAGCGAGAATCGTTCTCGGGTGGGTGCTACTTTAGTAGAAAATCAAAACGATAGAATATGATTCTAGCCTTGGCTCAAGATGAGATTTTATAGTTTCTCGGTCCTAATTTTTCAGTAATGTTCTTTCCTGGTAATTTAAAAATCATTTCGTACAATAACTTGTATATGAAAATATAAAATGATTCTTTTCCCTATGACGATTCAATGAGAATTTTCAGTTTGTTTTACAATTGTGAAATATGAATACAGAGGAGTTGCGCTATAAAAAACATTCTTCTCAAAGAGATACATGTTGAAAACTGAGGGGAAGAGTGAAGCTGATGGTTGCGAGGGAAATAATCGATGAAATTTATTGGAACGACTATCCGTCCGCGATAAAGGCACGAATTTTTGTCGCAGCACCCCGGATATTTTCAGTTGCGTCACACGTTTGGGTGGGGGTGTACGAATAAATTTACATAATGCTAAACCGCGTGTTCTCCGGGACACGGCCGTTTCTGCGGAATTTATCGGAGCCCGTTGCCAGGCCACGTCAAAACCGACTGAACGCTCGCGGAAAAATATTCCGCGTTCGTAATTAATTCGATCCCCTCTTCCCACCCACTGGCGAAGATTTAATTTTCCTGGCGCACAACCAGGTAAACGCGTCTCCGGTAACTCGTTGCAACATTTTTAACGAATCGACGGTGAAAAACGCGACAGCGCTGTTTGCGCTCCGTTATGAAATGGCGGCCCGTGGAAGGAATCTGCTCTGAATATTTTTTTTTGTTCGCAAATTCAATCTCTAGCTTTTTGAGCTCTGTAATTACTAGGCTGCTTACCGTAATTCCACCGCAGATATTATTTAATTTATTCATTCATACGGACAAGGTGAGTCAATGTAAAATAATTGATTATCTGGTTTATTGGATGTCTCATTCGATGGATTGCTTTGCATTAGTGGATTTTATCTTTTGGACTCATTACATTAGTAGGTTTTATATTTTATATTTTTAAATTCATTCTCACAAGACTTTGTATAAAATAAGTAGTATGTTGTTTTAAATGATAATTTTCATTGATTCACCCTGTACATATTTCCAAATCAATTTTGTTTACACTAAATCTTTTAATTGCCAAATGCATTCCATTTCTCAGACTTATTTAACATCCTTTGTTTTTTCTGTAGCAACCGTGTAAATGTTGGTTTCATATACACTCTAGTCACATCTATTTTAGCCATTCAATCAAAATATCGGAGGATTGTGCATCACTTCATGTTTTAAATGCGCACGCACAATAGTTTTCCGTATTTCATATAGAAAGTTAGACGAGCAAATAAAGAGACGTTATTGTTCCTATTTTCTTGTGCAAATATAAATTCATGAGTACTCACCAGAAACTGGAACTGCGACACTGCATGATACGTACACGTACAGATGATAAGGGAAATGTGGCGACTTCTAGTCAGACATCCCTACTACTCCTACCGATTCCGGCTGAGAAAGTCGACCGAATTCGAATGAACGGATTTCACATGGATACGCACTCGCGTATGCATTTACGAGTATAAAAATAGATACACAGTCGGCACAGTGCTGGTGCGTGTCTCTTCTCGGCTCGTTTGTATATCGGTCGGTAGCGCGGCACGGTGTTTGTTTGGACTCGGTCCCCGGCGTGGAAACTTCTTCCGAGCCCGGAGCGATCTCCGGGGGGTCGAGAGCACGAAATCTCGCCGATTAGAGGAGCCGATAGTGCAGCCAGATACCGCTCCCGGGGACTAGTATCACAGAGGGAGAGTGAGAGCCTTGTTTGTCGGGAAACTTCAGCGAAAACGTTCCGATACCACCTGAAAAACAGAAAAGGAATACGATTTCGTTTTGCGTTCACCGTATGCGCTATACGACGAGCCGATACGCGAACAATTTTTTTTACAAAAATCGTACCACCAGAGTTCCTTCTCTCTATGGAGCGATTGTATCGCATTGGGAACACACAGAGGTTGCTACAAAGGGAGATTAAATCCAGCGATCGATCCCCGCGTCAACATTCGCGCGCTCGAAGCCACGGGTGGGAATTTTCAAAGAAATATCAAAGGTCGCCCGGAACACGCATGTAAATCACGGTCATGTCGCATGCAAAACAACGCGATGCCGCAACCGTGCCGGCAAGAGTCGTCCCACTTCCGAAAAAAAAAAATAAAAAAAAAAACAAGACATAAGCTGCACCGTTGCAAGTGCTCGAATGAACGTGATGCGTGCTTTCGAAACGTCAAAGGCGCGATTATTTAATTTTCAGCTCAGTCGACGCCATTCTTTTGAACGTTCCCGTGCTTTATTAATTATCAAAGAGCCAAATTAAACTATCACTTATTCTCTGTTTCCTGTACACGTGTTTACCCGGCTGCCACTGATTGTTAAAGTCACTTGAACAGATTTAATTTAAATTTCTCTCGAAAATGTTCGACAGAATTTCTACCATCACACTCTTTTCCCTTGGGAGTTCGAAAGAAATGGAGCGCTGTGACAAAATTTGGAAGCCAATAAATAGCGGTCGACTAAAATTCAGGATACTATGGATCACGGCTTAATGATAGACAAACACGTCTTCGAACGTCGTGGGCGATTTTCGAAACGCGAGTTGGAAGAAGGTACCTACCCACTCGGTGTCTCGCCTGAAAAATGTTTCCACTCAGCGATACAAATGAGGAGGTTCGACGGAAAACAAAACAGGCGCAATTCCCTCGGGCGCACGGAGCGCGTGGACGTGTACAGTTGCTCCGAGGGATATAGCGAGCTGATCGTCCATGCGAAAGGACTTTGAGAAAGTTATGTATGGAAAGAGAACTTAGCAATGCAGACGAGCGAACTATTTTTCAGCCCGTTTATGAATAAATAAATAAATAAGTAATACAAATTGAACTATATGTTTGATAATGATGTCTATAAATAAATATAAGAGATGATCTCCATCTTTCTGAGATGATTTTAATCTCAGATTAAAATTCTTGGACCGTCCCTGGTTGCAATCGTAACGGAAGTGATTTCAAGAGAAAAGGACCCACGATCAGTCATATTTCGGAAGTTTAATGAGATGAGGGTTTGCCAGATCGCGGATTTCATTCTCTCCGCGGATTAATTGCTCAATTAAAATATCTGCCAGCCGTGGCTTAAGAAAAACGATCGTTTTCTCTAATTACGGAAGTCGGCTTCTCACGATCGTCTGACACAAACGAGGCAAGAAAAAAGTTAATCGGTGCAGCCAATCCTTGATCTTATACATAAAATTCTTATAATTCTATACGTTGTTGAATATCGAATGCATTTTGTATATTCTTTAATAAGTGCTTAAAATCTATTTGTTAATGACGGCGTAGAAAGGAAGTGGCAAAATTGAATTAAGATTAAACTGCAATCCTTAGGTAAAAATCGCCAAGACGTTCTTAGGGAAAACATCGCGACGACTATTCTCGACAACGTTGAATTGCGAGTGGAGTTTGGACGAAGCCGTGGACGAAACGAAGCGCGGCTCCGGTAGGAGCGCCTTCATAAATATGCAGAACCAATTACGGCAAGGCCCTGTGTGCCGCCTCGTTCTCATCTCTCCCTCTACCTCTCTCTCTCTCTCTCTCTCTCTTTCTCTCTCCCTCTCCCGCTCTCTCCGTTGCCACCGAAAACGTTCTCGCAAGCCAGACCGGGTCTTCTCGGGGCCCCCCGGAGCAAACGGAGCTTTAATTCGGCCGCATTTCTTTACTCGCTCGGAAATCACCGCGTTCTGGATCGCACGGCGTCCTTCTCCTGCCCGCGTTCCCTCTCTTTCACGGCTCCGGCCTGTCTTCCTGGCGCAGCGGCGACGGTGGTCCCCAACGAGGTTGCCCCGGGGCCTCTTTTTCGCGGCTCTCCGGGGCTAACGTTCGGGGTAAACCGGCGCGGATACCTGTCGTAGTTAGTAGCCGGGGACCGGCCGCTGTTTCCGAGAACTATCGATACCGTACGGAATTTCAACCTGTCCTTGGACACGGTTCCTTCACTTTTCGGATAAAATTTACAATTTGCGTAATTGGTAGAGATTAAGATCAGAAAAATGACGATATATTAATATATATTAATATATATTTATTTTCGAATATATATTTTCCTAATTCGTATCTCTCTTCTTTTATTAGACTGTATACGTCTGTAATATCTATAAACGACAAGAGCGACATTTATCAATTGATTTTATAAAATATCTGGTAGAGTTCATATACAGAGAGATATCTATCTAGGGAGATACATTGAAATATCTATGTAGAGAGATTTACATCTGGGAGAGTTTACCTCTCCTTTTTCTGATAAAACTAACAAACCTCTTCATGTTTGGTTAAATCTTCGCCACAAGAACTCTAGACAACGAATCCAAAGAAGTGGAATCTAGCAGTCTTTCGAGTATCGCGGAAAGAATGCTCGCGAGTATGGAACCGCGTACCGGTGGTCCCCGCGAGTGGGTAGCAATTACGTGGAGAGGAGTGTCTAGCATTCGGCGAAACGTTCGCCCCGGTATGAAGACACATTTCCTCGAAGGACAAGATAAGGAGGAAGGAGTGACGTTTTAATTAGGACCTCGCCGGGGCGCATTAATCGTCGAGATTTCGAGGGCGGTCCACGGTCTCGTCTCCACGGCACGATGGGAAGCGAAACAGAGAGACAGAGAGAAAGAAAGAGTCCGAAGGGGCAGTGGAGGAACGGGGGCAACCAACCGGGTGGGAGATTACGCGAAAGAATTTCATAATATTCGGCGTTTAAAATTCTCGCATAATGCTGGGCCGAGCTCCTCTCTCTCGCGAGAGAGAGGAGAGGTGGTAAAAAGGAAAAAGCCCACGAGGGGCCCCGCGCCGAGGCATGCGTCGCCCTCGGCGTCTTGGGATAGGACCTCGATTCTTGTTTGTTTTAGCGGCGAGCCTTTGAGCGCGCGATCGCTCGCTCGCCTAGCGCGTACACGCGCGTACCACACGAGCGCTTCTCTTTAGCGCTTCTTCCCCTAACCCTTTGCTCTCTTTTTCTCGTCGCCCACCCTCAGCCCTGGCCCTCTCTTCCATCTTCATCCCGATCGACCATCGATCATCCCGGGACGCGTTTCCGACCGGTTATTTCGTTCGCATGGAAACACTTCTATGATTTTTAGTTTTTCCACGCGTTCCGTTGTCTGTTCGCGTTTAGTTTTCACCCGAGAGTTCGTTCAATCTAAAGAAAATTTCTAAATTCTTTGAAATATTCTATAGTATATTGTGTTCGCACGTAATATATTTCAAAACTCGATGGAGCTTGATTGTACATCCAATCCTCCGATTAAAAACAATTTCAGAGATAACACAGTCTCTGGATAACTATAACAGTTCTGTGGGAGTTAAGAAAAATACAAGAAGGTATTAACACAGGATTATAAAAGTATAAGAATCTCGAAAATCTGCAAGTTTATGTAGTTATTACCTCCATAAATTTTCGACACGGTAATCAGCAAATTGTAATCTCGTTACGGACTAACGTTATTAAACCATTTAACACAGTTTCCTTCGAGTGGAACGAACCGCCAATATACAAGGCGTCTCATCCGAAATTCCGCATGCAATTATTCGGTAAACTACAGCACATTTAAAAAAACGTTTCGAATAAAACCGTGTAAAAAAATGTTACGTTTTTTCAAACAGAGTAAGTTTTATTTGGAATACATTTTGAAAATGAAACGAAAGGAATAGTTTGGGAAATTGCGTAAGGAACTTCGGATGGAACATCCTCTACGTTTCGTCTCCCAACTTCGAGTTTATTCAGGGGAACAGATACTACTGGTCGGACGCTATTACCAAAACGTGGTGCCAAGTTTTATCCCCGCCGCAAATTTCCCATCGAGAGGGTCGGGGCAGCCCGTATCGGCCATAACGACGCGCAGGGAGGGTGGTTCGGTCTCTGAATACAAATAAGATGTTCGCGCCAGGGTAACCGGCGCGACAGTGAATAAAACGTTTAACGCGCCCAGTTTCAATTCATCAACAACGTACCTGCATAATAAGAAAGTCACTGGATCTCGAAGGGTTTACCAGTAAAAATCAACGCGCCAATCGAAATTTATCGGTACCATATGGATGGGAAACAAATTTCACGGCCTATCAAAGCGTGGCAAATTAAAATACGCCGTGAAGCTGAAAGGAGAATAAAAATACCGAAGTGAAATTTGTTGGAGCGTCGAAACAACAAACATTATGTGGCCTTAATTCAAGAAACAAAGTTGCGACGCAGGTTTCCTCACCGCAAAATCAATTATTTTCATATCTTATCATAGCAGTAAAATATGAGTGCACGATTTAAAATTCAAATCGTGTTCGATGAGCGAATAGAGGGAGTGTTTGGATTAAAATCCGGCGACTGCCGAAGCCGAGTTAGGATAAATATTTTGCGTTCCCCTCGAGAGAGGGTACGTTGGAAATTTCAAGTCACGCTTCGTATAGCGTTCGCCCGATCCCGGAGTCACGGATCAAAGACGCGGGTCCGGATACCGCAGACGGTGCTTCTGGTCGGCCAGCCAACCGGTGACGGGACGGCTGTGCGTCGTCATTTACCCGAAATTACCATTCGTGCTTGGACGCGTGTTAAAATCGTGCCTTCTCCGGCTGGGAACGCGCCGGCCGCATCCTTCGCCGTACCTGAAACGCGGGCTCGATGCTTGGTTCGCTGCATTAAAGGGGTAGCGTGAAAATTTATAGCCAGACTGCTCCAAACGAATGAGGAACGGTGTTCCTTGTTCAGAGGAAATTTCAGTTATATGCGCAGCTCGATTCCGCAGCGACAACCCGTTCTCGCTCGCGTCGACACCTTT